GTATCAGAAATATCTGCTTAAGGATCCATGAATACACCTATAACAAACTTCTTCGTGAAGAGTAAAAACGAATTTAAGGGAAGAATTATAGCAGACTGACCTGATATTGAGCATAGAAGGACCCAAACCAGAACACGTACTGTCCAATGATTTTTGCCCATGAGAATACAACACGAGTTCCACGTTCTCCTTCATGAAACTCGCCGGTTTCGTAGTACCTAGCTGCAAAAGAGAAGTTCAAGCCGAGTTTTTTAGTACCTTATATGGCTCAAAAAAGATGAATGTAAAACTTCTTATAAGGGTCTCTTAGTTTACAAGCATGAACGAGGTTGTTGACTCAATATATTAGGTTGTTCCAAAAGTTCTGTCGCTTTGTCGAAAAATTCGTAACTGTCCTTACGTGAACGTACTGACTCAAAAAATACCTCCATAAAGAAAAATTCATCTACTTTTCAATCATATCTTCGCTACTCTTTGACAACAAAAGACTCCAAAAATAAAAAATTCGAGAAGGTGATCGTCAAGTCGAAAGCGCTGCCGAATAATCTATGAGCACGTTTTCTAAAGGTTTTGTAACCTGCTCTTTCTTATGGTGCCAAGACTGTGCTGATCGAGCTTTTCTACACAGAGTTATCATTTTCGCAAAAAATCAAAAAACAGCAAAGTGACTGTTTTGCACTTTCGTGCATTTTTCACGAAAATCATAACCTAGCGCAGAAGGGCTCGATCAGCACACTTGGCACTATCAGAAAGAGCAGTTTACGAAGCCTTTAAAAATATGCTCACAGCATCATCTGCAGAATTTTAAATTTTTGACCATTTATTTTCGAAAACCATGAGTTTGAGTGGTTCTCCTATTCGAGGAGTCTTTTCTCAAAGAGCAGCGAAGATGTGATTAGAAAGTAGATGAATTTTCCTATCTGGGGGTATTTTTCTAAGCCAATAAGTTAAACATAGGGAGCACTTACGAATTTTTCACAATCAAAGCGACAGACTTTGAATAAACATTAGTTTCTCACGAGTATTTAAAGGCTAGTAGATTGGACGGTAATCATTGCATTGCCCAATCTTTGCGAAGGCATACTTCCATAGGTGACGTGCAAGTTGTCGGTAACGCAAGAGCACTATAATTACTGTCAAAGCTACTAGCCTATATGTGTCTGCGCTTCAGAACGTTTTGTTGTGGAGATGTGTAACAACATAGCTTATTTATAATACGCATTGATTTCTTATTTACAAAAAAATATTTTACCTGGACACGTTCAGCGAAAGCTGTCCAGTGCATCGACATACTACAAGTTTTATAAGCAGCGAATAGAAAAATCCTATTTTTTGTCGGTTAATGCGATGTAAATGCAAACATGACGAAAAGAACGAAATCAGTTTCATTTATTCTCGTTCGTGACCTGGGCATTGTATTATAGTCTTTAGTCTGTTTAGCGAACCAGGTTTGTTATAACTTTTTATTTAGCCTGACGTTTCCGCAGCAATGCCTTCCTCAAAGGCCTGAGAGGAAGTCTCACTCTTTAAATCTTGCTTCCGCCTTTGAGGAAGGCATTTTTGCCGAAATGTCAGGCTAAATAAAAAGTTTTAACAAACCAGGTTGACTAAACAGGCTAGAGACTATAACAAAAGAAGTTTTTTGCAAAGAATTTATGATAAGATGTTTCAGAAACACCGTAAGAAATCAAAATGACGTAGTAATGGTTCAATATTGAAACCATCTTAATACAAGATTGGGGTTTTCTCAGTTGTGATGTCTGCAAGCCAATCTTCGATCTGTTTCGAGATCTCGTGAGAAGTGCAAAGGTCACCTATGCGAGATACCCGCCTTTACACAACACTGATAACGCAGAAAGTCGCATAGTCTCAATAAGAGACTTCATCGCTGGTGTTTCATTCCTGCTTCTCATAGACATTCTTTCTTGTTTACAGTGATAGTAAAACTGAAATAGTAACAAATACCACTAGGTGGGAGCAACACTAGCATAAACAAGTCATTGCCAATTCAGAAGATACTCAACCGTACTCATTTTTTCCTACATATGAACTTTTGAGGCCATTTTGCTCACTGCTGATTTTCCTTAGCGCGAATTTATGTTCTTCACTCCACTTACACCATAACCACAGCGAATGATTCAGTACATTTCAGCGAAAGTGTCTTACCTAACATCTCGTCCTTTTCCTTGTACACCTCATACATCCAGTCACGCAATTTCTCCTCATCGTCAAATGGAACCTGCAAATCAGGTATGAAATCAATTTTCATACATTGCTCATGCTCAATCTGAATAACAAAATGAATTCAAGTTCCGAGCATAAGATACGCAAATTCTGTACGAAACAAGTCTATGTTTCAAGCATAAGATAGAATCTACAAAAGTGCATTTGAAAGAGTCACGGCGCAGCCAATAAGAGTGACGCGGAGCAAATCTTAGATGA